CACCTGTGAGGCCAGACGATGTGCAATGGTCTTTGTTGATCATCAGCTTCCCTCGAAATGTCATATGAATTTTTCTTCTGTTCTCCAGGACGAGAGCTTGAATTATCTAATGAGTCGTGCATTTTCAAGTATGACTCCTGCGTTAATGAGCTACCCAGGTTTTCTGGTTGTGCAGCATCACAAGGCCCAGACTGTGACTCCACATTATCCAATATATTCTCAGAACTTCCCTGCTCCGGCGGGAGAGGAAGGGCCGTGGACAAAGCAGCAGTGCCGTCTCCTCGAAGGCTGAGCATCTTTTGTGAATGGGCCATTTTATGCTTTGGCATGAATCTGTTACAAAAAGGAAGTGCAGTACTCTTTCAGTGAAGACACTATTTAAAATATACCCTTTACCTTTCTGTAAGGACATGATGATGGTGGATGAAACTGAGAAAAAATGAGCACGTAACAAAAACTCTAGGAAGAGAGCAAAAAGTAGCAGCTATAGAGAGAAAGTTCAAAAGTTTGACATTGGACCTGGTTGTTGTTACATAGTTTCCCAAGACTTCCCGTGGCTAGTGGCTATCCACCCTGTACTGCACGTACAAAGAACGAGAGGAGAGCCATGGTTTCTCACTCTCCCTTCCTGCGTCTTTCTGGAGCTCCCGTGTGCTGCTCACCACATGCCCCAGGGCCTATTTTCAAGCTTATTTCATTATCTTATAAACATGCTTGAAACTTTCTTGATTAAATTGGGCATTTCTGCTCACATGACTTTTCCGTACTCCTGGGCACCGTACATACTTTTCATTAAAAGACCTTGCTAATATTTTGCGAAGTATATTTTCTGTTACGGATTGTAGAAGCACCTGCATAAAACGAAGTCAAGGATTTCACCAAATACTGGGCAGCCAACCAGCAGTGCTTAGAAAGACAGAGTGGGAGATGGGTGCGAACGACCAGCTCACTGGTGGGGGAACACAGTAAATGAAGGACAAACACTCTGACTTTTAAAACAGAGCTAGAGAAATTCTGACAGAGGAATCAGTAAAGCCTTAAAGAGAGTTTTAACTGAAGAATTTAGGAAGGCAGAGAGGCGGGATTTCTGGACGGAGGGGACAGCACGATCAAAAGAAAGGGGTATGATAGAACATGAACTCTTCAGGGGATAATGACATGCAGCCCCAAGAGGCTGGCACAGGTCCTGAGGTCTAGAGAGGCAGACTGGGCCTGCCGAGTCCCCGACCCACCCAGAGGCTGGGCCCCTTCCTTGAATGGTTGAATAAGTAAAGAAACGGAGAGTGCATGCATGTCAGAGGTAGGTGAGGGAGAAGAACCGTGGAAGGAGAGCAGTAAGGAATATCTGGGAGAGCAGAAAGCAAATCTGAGATGGGAGTATCATACAATTGAAGTGAATGAAGAGCCCCCCAAAATATGTAAAAAAATTATCAGCAGATCTTAAAATGTGTAAAAGGGGGTGTAAACCACTGCAGAGGTGCTAGAGTACCAGAAACAACAAGCTGTTTTCGGCCTTGTTACCTAGATCACTGGCTACTCCGAGGGCAGTTCCTATGGAGGGAGCAGGCAGAGGCCAGGCTGGAGGTTAGGGTGTGTGCACAGTGGCTGGGGGGAGGCAGAGAAAGAGCAGGAGAGGGGAGAAGAGCACAAATGGCAAGGTGAATTCTTTTTAATGGGGTCTGTGTACACAGGGGTATCCACCTAGGGGTTCACTTGGGGATACCTGCTAGGGAAGGAAGCAGGATGTTAATGAAACAAAAGTCTCACAAGGTGAAAGCAGAAAAATGACATACCGTGTGTGGAATAACTGCAGGCTTTTGTTGGGGTGGGGGCAAGTTGGGCCTTATAAAAGAGAATTAAGCTAGCCTTTTCACAACACTGAAGGAAGGAGAGAAAAAGGAAGTGGAAAAGTTTCAGGTGGAAGTGTGTGGAATCTAAGATGTGTCACCAAAGCATTAGAAGGTCATCTATTTCAGAGAGGTGGGTGGAGGTGGAGTTAAAGAGGTGGGCTGAGAGGTCAGAACCGGCACTTTGGAGAGGGGCACAAGGCATCTGTTCCCTAGTTCTGAAAGCAGGGGCTGCTGAGCAACACCAAGGAATGGTGGGGGTTCCCCGGTGAGCTAGAAGTCTGGCTGTAACACGCTGTGTCCATTCCAGCATCAAAACGCTTATTCGTGGGGGCTAGGGGCGTCTGTGCTTGTTTCATAAAGCCTTTTGAGAAAAATCACCTGAATGGGTAAGGAGCCCCCTAACCAAGAAATAAATAGGTAAACATACAGAAATAGAGGAAACTCAAAAAATGGTGCTAACCCCCCTGGTATGCCCTGATAAAATCATTAGTTTTTGATTTACTATGGAAAAAAACTTGGGCAAATACAGGTTATGGTTTCAGAACTCACAGGTCCAAAACACTGAAGGGATCTACCCAACTTTCATGGTGATACAAATTCAAAATACGGAAGAGAATCTAAGGAACTAAAAATCAGTTACAAAGTTTCCATTGATCAACACAAAAAGTAAAAAAAAAATGAATGTAATAGTATGTTCAACTCCTCCTAAATAAATAGAATAAATGGAGAGAGAAGGAACATCTGTACATATCTGCAAAACAACAATAAAACAGGTGAGATAACCTGTTGGTTTAAGTCAGATAACAAATGCCAGGGAAGCTTAGAAAGGATTTGAACCAAATTACAAATTTAGTGCATGAAGGATTCACAATTTTAAAAAATGGTGGGCATTAAAACAACCTATCTTCATTTTAGAAAATGGTATCATGGCCTATCTTACTCACAAAATCCATTTCCATTGTCCAGCCTGTGAGCAAACTTGCACATTAGGGATGGAAAACAGTGGGAGCTGGCAACCGATGGGGAATTCCGCTGTGGGCAAGGTGCTAGGCCTGCTTTTACTCAACGTGTTTCCTACCTGTTCTCCAGGAGGGAGAGAAGGTCCTGTCAGCACGGGCTGACACGGGAGGTGGTGGCGTTGCTGTGTGAACGGTAACCCAAAACGCAGCTTGCGAATGTTACGAAATTGAAAAAGGAATCATGGACATGGACAACGGTGTGGTGACTGTGTGGGCAGGGGGTCAAAGGGGACTAAACGGTAAAGGAAAAATTACAATAAAAGATAAAAATAAAATGTTTACTTAAAAAAAGAGAATACAGAAAATAAACGTGAATGCCGGTAGGACACACGGAGAACACGGGGCTGGACAAGAGCCTGTGCTGAAGTGACCACCAGTAGACCGATGCCACTTTGTCAGGGAGAGTGCTGTGCAGGGAAGGACGGTACCAGGTCTGAGGGGACGGTCGCTGCGCAAATGCCGGCTTCATCGGGGTCACCTGATAACTGTGCACGTTTGAAAATTAGAGAGTTCTTAGAAGAGCAATAATAACGATGAAGGCAATGGAAGAATTGATTTATGAGGACAGATTAAAGGACCTAAATATGAATAGCTTGGCTAAGTGACAACGAGAGGGGTACATAATAGGAGTCTCTAAGGAAAGAGCCTAATTATTTAGCCTGCTACAAGGGGGTGTAACTAGGAGTAATGAGATGAAATTAAGAATGGGAAAATTTAAGCTGAATTTCAAGAAAAACTCCCTGATTGTATAATTTATTAACTCATGGAATAAACTCCCTGTGGAAATGCTATAGCTAGGAAATAATAGGGCTGGACAAAATACCAATAATAATACAGATAATAGTCCAGTCTTTGAAAGAAGGTGGTACATGTTACACTCGCCTTGTTTACAATATCTTCTCATGTTTTTAATAGCCTTATTTATATAGAATTAATTGTTACCCAGAGAAGTATTTAAGCAATTAGCTAAATCCAAAAAGAAATATGTCCTTTAGGTAACAGAAGTTAAAATCACCTCAGTTTTCATAAGCTCTGAAGTAATAAGCTGAAACAATTTTTTACTACTTTGTTTCAGCAGAATTGGTCTTGAAGCAACTGAACAAATGTATTATTAATATTTCTTTAAAGAGAGGACAAAACAAAACAAAATGATCCTCATCTACTATTCCACACAAAGTCCACTGATTCTGTGTGCCATGAAGCTCTTATTTTCATAGACATGTTTAATATAAACAATTTATTGCCATAATAGAAATCAAAAAACTTTATTCCAGCTTTTCTAAATGTAGCTCTATGGTCGATTACTTCACATCAATACCGAGATCAAATAGGCATAATACTAACAAGCAGTTTGCTTAATAATAGTCACCACACTAATTAACCCATCCAGAACATTCTTAATCAGACACTATTTGTAATGTACAGTTAAGAGAAGCTTGGCAATAAACCGTACGATGCTAAAAGAGAAAATAATAAGTTACTGATGGGGGAAAACTGGCTTTTCTACAGAACTGGATGGACTTTGCTGTCCTGGTGTTAATGCCATGAAGTGACTATGCAAATAGGCACATGTCTGAACACCTCCCATCCCCTCCTCTGCCCCAGCTCTGGTGGAGGTGCTAATGAGGAGAGGAGAGGTCCTGAGGTAAGGAGTGAGAGAAAAAAAGAGTTGAAGGAAAACCGGTGAGCCGCCTTTCACAGTGTAGGCCCAGTTTACTATTTAACAATCTCTCATTTTTTTCTTAAAGAAATCCCCCATTACTCATAGAAAATGTTGAGCTGTTTCCGAGTCTCTCAGAAGCTCTATCAGAACCTGTGTCTCCTTTCAGAAATATTCTGATTACTGTAATCGCTTCCAATCTGTTATTGGCCATGGGACCCCACCCCAACTTTTCCCCAACCACTAGTCAACCTGTGAAACCGAAGTAGGGTCTACTGCATACTCTGCTTTCAAACGTGCGCCTTTCCTCTCACCTCTGTCCCTTAAAGTGGCTCTGGTGCCACTGTCGCAAAACCCTAATATGTGCTGAACGATCTTGAAAGACACAGCTGGACTAAGTATGTTCTAGACTTAAATGTGATCGCTTCTCCAACCCCAACATCTAAACGAACAAACCTATAGCTGAACCTATGGGAAGGACCAATGGCCTTATTCAGATCAGTCAGGAAGAGACTAGATTTGAAAGAAGCATTAAAGGCTGTTGAGACTGATGGCAAATACAGCGAATGCTGTAGGTACCTTAGTTATTTCTGCTGGCATTGAAGGGCTAGAGTCTATTTAGTTGACTAACAGAGGTAGTCAAGAGGAAGACTTTAATACAAAGTAAGTCAATTAAATTTAAGACATTAATATTGATTCATCTGTTATTGATGAGAATGTCATGGCTGAAATGTATGTCATGGTGGTATATACTGCTTACGAACATCTTTTTGAGAGATTTCAGTAAAAAGTACTTACTATAGT